CAGATCTGGTGTGTATAGATGGCTCTGCTGCTGGCCTCTATCAGTCTAGTGCTTCCCTTGCTTGGTGAAGGCACTATTCTCAGGGTCATTGGGGTCCATGTCCACTACAGCTTATTGGTGCTGTGCCCAAAGACACCCTTTGTCCTGGTATAATTATGAACAGCACCCCCACCTGACCCTCACAGGGTCTTGTTTGGGATGATAGATTATATGCTCCATCTCACCCTCACCCACCCATCCCAGAAACCCCGGCCCCCACACCCACAGCCCTATGGATTCCACCTCTCTAACATCTCTTACCCCACTCCACGTTCCTGCCTTCAAGCTCACCTTCTCTCCATTCTTCCACCTGCTGCCAGGTGACCTTCCAGAATTGCTAAACTGACCACCTTCACCAGTCTAACCATCACACGGTGACCCCACCCCCACCCACCTGACTTCAGTTACAACCCATGTACCACGCTGGGGCTCCCAGCTTTTTATCTCCTTGTGGTGTGGCCCTGCTCTCTCCCAAGCCTCATCCCTCCCCTAGCCATCCTGACCCCTGTGTGCCTGTCCCTTGCCAGGTGCTGGCTCACGGACACCCTGTGACTCTCTGTTTGCCAGCTACCTGTCTCTCCCCCCAGCATCCTGGAAACTCTGTAATGGTGTCTTTTATCCTTGGATTGACAGTGTGTCCAGGGGACCAGGCGTGTGGTGCCAGCGTGAGTAATGCCAAGTCATTTGTGACTGCAGTGCCCTAAGCAAACACCTGCCTTTGAGGGCCACATGTATCACTCTCTCTCTCTCTGCAAGGAAGACCTGCCCCCAGCCCAGGGATCTGCTGCAGCCACCAGGGGCTGCTCTCCTGAAACCACATGGGCATCAGAAGCCCAGTGTCCTGACAGGGCCCATTATTCTGTGGCAGCAGCAGCAGCCCTCATTTTCCTGCTTGCGCTGGTGAGCTTGGGGTCTGCTTCAGAGAGGAGCCTCTGACTCCCCACTCTGTAGGTAGGTCTCCATATCTCCAGCCTCTAAAAATTGGTGTTTAAGAAGTGGCTGGCGTGCACCCTGTAATCCCAGCTACTCAAGAGGAGGCAGGGGGATCACATACTCAGGGCAGCCTGGGCAACTTAGTGAAACCCTGTAGCTCACTGGTAGAGTGCTTGCCGAGCGCTTGCCGAGCCGCTTGCCCAGCGGAGGACCTGGGCGAGTCCTCTGCTCCCGATTTGGTGTTGAAATTTGTACGGCCGCTAGGGGGCAGCAACACGCGCAGCTGCAGCAGGGGCGGGAGATGCACTTGCCCAGCCTGGAACGCGCAGGGACACCTGCTTTCTGGCGCCTGATTAGAAACCTGAAGGACAGCAGGACAGAGCGCTGTGGCTTTTGTTCCTTCCCTCTAATGCGTGCACGTTCCCCACTTAACGGCAATTTCTTCCCTTCAAAAGGATTCCAGCTGGTTAAATTTAAGGTGAAGAATAAGCCCCAGTCAAGACACTTCTCAGGGTCCTTTCAGTTTTCATTGGCTTTAAGGACGGGATGCATTTAAAATGTTGGCCTCTTAATGTTTGTCAGCGCTCAGGAGGAGAAAAGCTTCCACTTAACTTCCGCAGCTCTCAGCTCCCAGCCTCGGTGCTCAAGAAGCATGACCTTGCCGGCTGTGCTCCCAACACCACCCCCACCCCCTCCTCTCTTTCCCTCCCTGGTTTTCCTTTCCAACCCCCAGCTCCACCTCTGTGCTGCCCGCTGTCTGAGGTCCACTGGGCTCAGCAGCTTTCCTGCACATGCCCAGGACTCCTGGAAGCTTAAACAACCAACCTGGGGCTTACACAGCTGGGGGCTTGCACTCTGGGAGGGGTCCTTATACCTGCCACTCACTTGTCCATTCTTCCCACCATCCATTCACTCATCCGTGCACTCACTCGCCCTGTGGCCCAGCATGGGACCTGCGATGCTGGCAGGAGCTGTGGGTGATTCCAGGAAACGCCGCCCGCACCAGCCTCCTCGCTCTCCTAGTGTTTACAAAGTGGTTGCAGCTGTGAGGGACACGAATGGGCAATGGCAGGACACAAATGGGCAGGACAGAACAAAGCCAACACCCTGTTTAGTGGGCAGGAGACACTGAAAAGTCTTAGCAAGAAGCCATCAGCCAGGGGTGGGGGCCAGGCCCAGAGAGGGGCAGTCAGCAAAGGGGTCCTGGAGGAGGAGGAGGAGGATTCAGGATGGGAGGAGGGCCCACAGGTGGGTGAGCGGCCTGGGCCAGGGCGTGGAGGCTGCCCCACGCCCACTGCACCCCTCCTGCCAGGGCCTCGGGCCTTGCTTGGGGGGCACCCTCGGCCTGTCCACTGGCAGTTGAGGCCTTGGTGGCACGGTTTTAATCACCTTGGAAACAAGGCGCTGACCCCTTTAGCCAGTCACCCACTCTTGCCTTCCTCCCTCAGGCCAGGGCCCTGTGGAAATGGCTTCCTCCTTCTCTGGAGGACTGGGCTTCCTCCCCTCTCCTGTCCCATTTTTGAGGAACCCTGTCCCCAGGGTGCACCTGCGTCCTCTCTAAGGGCAGGTTTGTCCCCTGGAGCCCTTGAGGAAGCTCCAGCCCCAGGTTCCTTAGCAGCGACTATCCTCCATCCCCCTCCCACACTGACTAGGGGAGGCTTCCCTCCAGCAAGCCCCCAGCTCTGCCAGCTCTGCTCGGCTTCAGCGGACCTTGCAGGGTCCACTGCTCAGGCCCGTGGGCTCTGAAGCTGGGCAGGCCTCGGTCCAGCACTGCCCCGGCCAGGCCCCTTACTTCCACCGGAACTGCTGCTTCCCCGCCTGACCCTTCGCACAGGCAGCACCTGGTGCTCCCGCAGCAGAACCACCCTCTTCTGCTCGCTGCGGCTGCCCAGAGTCACCATTTGGTTTAGGGGTGGGCGTGTGATCCAAGCAGGACAGATCCTGGGACTTTCAATGGTTGGAAAGAATCCATCTTTTCTCACTGGGATTGATAAACTGGTCAAACTTCAGCCTAAGGCTATTGGGGCCATTTTTGTCATCGAAGGAAAGAGTCTATTTATAAGTAAAAATAGCAGAGAGAAAAGCAGAGTCAAGAGATGGATGGAAAGATCCCTGTGACATAGTTAGAGCACCTAGATCCAACCAGACCTGAAGTTATGTCTGGAGGGTTTTTTGTTTGTTTAGTTTTTTATTAGCAAGTTCTCCCCTTTCTTTTGACTTCAACCAGTTTGAGTTGGATTTTTGCCACTTGCCACTATCAATCTTGACTAAAGAAATACTTAGCTTGCAGACTTGATGAGAGAATTGAGTGAAATGACAACATGAATAACAACCAGTCTAAAGTGGCACTCAATGAAGGGCAGCTTGTCACCGACTTTGCCTTCTCATAGTCTGTTACATTTCTGTAAACCATAGTGCTGTGGGAATAGGATACTACTTTTTCGTCTGCCCACTGCTTTAACCAAACCTTCCTTCACAAAGTCTTTATTCTCCTGGGCTCTCTCGGACACAGCCCTCTGTCTTCCATAACTCTAGACCAGTTTTCTGTCCCACCTAGCCCTGGGCTGAGACAGGATGGGTTTTTTGACAGTGAAAGATTTCATTTCAGGGTGTGACAGATGCGGTATCTTCTCTGTTGTGTCCATACCTCAGGACAATCCCATCCTCAAAACCCCAAACCCAGGACTTCCCCAGCGGTCTTCAAATCCCTCCCAGGAGGGACTCCAGGAGCTAGAAAAGTCTACACTGCCATCTAGTGGACATATTGGGCAACAGCCGCTCAGGGAATGGAGCCTGGGAGATTTGATCCTGGGATATCATTGGGAAAGCATCTGGCCTGACCTCCTGGGGCCCTGCAAGTGAAAACCCCAGGACAAGGGAATTAATGGGAGAGTCATGAGTCCTGTCCCATGGGAGAGCATATACTTGTCCCTAAGGAACTGGGTACCTGCCCTGCTTTCGTGGCCCCCCACCCTGTCCCAGGAGCTAGAAGCACAGCAGCCTTCTGTTCTGTGCTCCTCCTGGATGTCCACGGTGTGGCCTGGTTGAGGGTCTCCAGGAAGGAGGGACAATGTGTGTGCAGGTGTGTGTGTGCGTGTGTGTGCCTGCTCGCTCAGCCTTCCAGAGTAAAAGGACATTCGTCACAGTTGCCAACAGGACCCATCAGTGAAGCTTCCCGACATTAGCCACATAAGCTGTGAAACATACTAGTTCCCTGATAGTGACAAACACTTGGACAAACAAAGACGCCTCAACCATGTGACGCTGCTCTCTCCAGCTTGCTCCTTGCTGGGCCTGGCTTGGCCACGGTCAGGCCTGACCAGGGGAGTGTGGGGCCGCCAGGCTGCACCAGGAGAGAGGAAGCAACCCTTGTGCTTCCCAGCACATTGCATAGAAATGACAATCACATCCTAGCCACAATCCCTGTGTCTCATCCTGTTAGTGACCTATGTCCTGGACACATCATAGTCCTTGTGTCCCTGTTGACACTAGCAAAACAGCAGAGAGCAAGAGGTGAGCCCAGGAGTCGAGAGAGAAAGAAATTGCTCAGAAGACCGGAGCAGCCTCCCGGGGACATGGCGTGACCGCTGGGAGCCGCAGCCCCACTTCCCACTTCCACGGCCTTTCCCCAGGCTCACCAGAGCTCCAAGCACAGGGAAGCTTCCACAATGGGATGGGACTGATCACTCCCCAGGGAAAGAAATAAGAAATAATCACTTGCAATTCCTAAAACATTTTGATCTTCTACTTCAGGTGACTGGGCACAAGAAGAGCCTGTCTCCTACTGTGACAACCAAGCATCAAGATGCACGGCATTGCCAAGGGTCCAGTCTGCAGGCCTCCCCACCCCACTCTGTCCCTAGGCCACCGGGCCACTATAGGGAAGGCACAGCCTCATAGCAACAGCCTTCTGGCACCAGCAGACCCAACCCTGATGGCTCTGCATGTGGCTTCAAGTCCCACAGCAGAGGGAGCTCAGGAAGAAGTCAAGACCCCCAGACCCCCTGCAGCCAGCCCAACTCACTCACTTCAAGGGCTCTGGGGAACTTGACGATCGGCTCCATCCAGTAGGTGATCTTATGCCTGAAGTTGTTGCAGTCAGGAATAAACATGCAGGCGACATTTCCCACCTCTGGGTAGAAAACATCAAGGCCCCTATGGAGAGAGGGAGGTGGTCACACCATGTCAGGGTCCTAGGGGTCCATGAGGTTGCAGGCTAACATTATTGGAAGGTAAATTCAAATGGGTTTAAATCCCAAATCTGCCACTAACTAGCTGAGTGACCCCAAGAGTCACTTGGCCTCTTTGTGCCTCAGTCCCTTCACCTGTAAAAGGGGATACTAATAGAACCTACCTCACAGGGCTGGTGGGAAAAGTCAGATAGTGTCGGCATTTACAGCAGAGTCCAGCACAGCCGAGTGGTCAGAGGAACTGACCATCCTCAGCGTCTACCCCCAAGAAGAATCTGCAGTCATCTCTTGGTATCCTTTGGGGATAGATTCTAGGACCTTCCATGGACACCAAAATCCTTGGATGCACAAGCCCTAATATAAAATGGTGTGATATCTGCATATAACCTATGCACAGAACCTGTAAAATGTTAAATATCTTACACCCTAAAACAGCGTAATATTTGCATGTAACCTCCGTACTTTGTGTCGCCTCCAGATTACTTACATCTAATACAATGTAAATGTTGTGCAAATAGTAGTTACACTGTATTGTCTAGGGAATGATCACCAAAAAAAGCATCAGCACATGTTCAGTGCAGATGCAATTCTTTTCCAAATATTTTCGATCTGTGGTTGGCTGAATCCATGGATACAGAACCCATGGATACAGAGGGCCAACTGTACATCCTCAGGCAAACTTGGCCAGTGAATTTAAAATAGGACTGGGTTTATAAGGACAATATGCACTGCTCTTCAGGAATGTTCTTAGTTCAGAGAGAAAGGTTCAGCAATTCAGCACAGCCTCTTTCATGGACAAAGACCTTCCCTCTCTCCTAAACAATCAAGAACTCCCCATGCCTAAAACTCCCACCATTACTTAAATAACCCATGTCTTCAGGTGAAGCATCACCCAGACCCCAGGCTTTCAAAATGCAAATGTCTCTCAGTGGATAAAACATCCCATCACTCAGAGACCATCTACTTATTTTCTTCCTGAGAAGAAGAACCTGAATGGCTCAGAGATTCTGAACATCTGACTTCCCAAAAGGAAGAAAATACGACGCAGAACAAAGAGCAGCAGCAGCTTAGGACAGACGGGACTGATTTGTGGCTTCTCCTGCTTGGCCTTGCGACTCACCTACACTTGAACCCAGAAATCTAAGCCAGATTTCAAATAGATATTTTTAAAAATCTTGGTACCAATTTTTTTTTTTTAACTTGTCCTTCTTCCTTACCCTTGTGCTAGTTTTTGCACCAAGACCTGGGTCTCCTCTTGGGGGAGGTACAGAGTAGGTAGGTGTTCCTGGTCCCCCACCTTTTCTAGCAGCCCAGTGTGGCTGAGCTGCTGCCCAGCTGGACAGTGGCACTGCTGTCCACCGTGCCTTTTGGGGGGTGATGCCTCTCACTGGGGCACCCAGAATATAATTTGGGGAACAGTTCTGGATAAAGAGCTCCAGAGGCTGGGACTGGGAGGACAGCCCTGCCCTGCCCTTCCGCTGTCTGCCTCCCACCTTCCCAGTAGATCCAGAGGTGACCAGAGGTGACGGAGGGCAGAGGCAGCTGAGCCCAGCAGGAGTGGATGCAGGCTGCTTCGGTGGGCCAAGGCCTCAGACACAGGGGTGGACCTACGCCCATGGAGCTTGCTCATTGTTTAGGCTGACTCTTGGCTCCTTTGCAGCAATTCCTTTTGGATGGCATGGCGTCTGCAGCTTTTGGAGTCTTAGGGCATAGGTTCTCCATTATCTTCATTATAGCCTTTTAGGGATCATCTGGACGTTTCTGCTGTAGCTCCTGATCACTGGAGCCAGCAAGATGTGAGGCAGGTGGAAGGGACCCTCCATGGACAGAGGGATGGACCATCAACACACAGTACAGACTGGGGAAAAACTGACCCGGCAGGGAAGAGGTGAGTGGGAGGTAGCCATTCACCCCTCTTAATTCCAGTAAAATCGCCGCACGTGTTAACATAGTTAAACAAAATCAGCAGCCAGGAGTGGGGGCCCCCGCAGGCCTGTAATCCCAGCAACTCAGGAGGCTGAGGGAGGATTTTGAAATTCAAGGCCAGCCTGGGCCGTTTAGGAGACCTTGTCTCAAAATGAAAACTAGAAAGGGCTGGGGATTAGGCTCAGTGGTGGAGCATCCCTGAATTGAACCTCAAGACCATAAACAAACAAACAAACATGAAATCAGCAAATTGATGTTTGGTGAGTGGGCCTGAGGCTAGAGAGTGTCCTGATGGGACAGAGGACATGCCCGGGACCAAGAATTAGATTTGTGTTTCTGACCCTGCCCATCACATCTGTGGGGGTGCTGCCAGCCAGCGATGAAGAGGACATGTTGTTCCACATGGGAGGTTGTGTCAAGGAGCACAGGCAGGCCTCTGTGCCATTTAGTTGCTTTATCAAAAGCTTGGGATATTGGGCTGGGGATAGCTCAGTTGGTAGAGTGCTTGCCTCGCATGCAAAAGGCCCTGGGTTCAATCCCCAGCACCACCAAAAAAAAAAAAAAAAAGCTTGGGATACAGACCCTGAAGGCAAATTTATTACATTTGCAGTGGTGACTGCAACACCCTGAAGGGCCACCTTCTCAGGTGCCCTTGCTACCTGTGGTTTACCTCACAGGGGACATGTTCCAATTTCCATCCTGAGATATGGGGACTCTCCTGATCCCCTTGACAAGGCCTAGAGGCACCCAAGAGAATAGGGCCCTCCCTTTGCCATCAGCTAGGGCTGCATAAGGGACCCTGAGAAAAGGGAATGGGACTTTTGGGCCACGCCCCTTCAAGCATCTTGTGTGCTTATCTTACGTGACTCAGTGATGCCTCCACGCGATGATTATCATTCTCCTCTCCCAGACTGGGAGACCGGGGCTCATAGAAAAAGAAGTGATTCACAAGGGTCGCATGTTGGTGAGCCAAGGGGGGGAAGGGAAAGGTGGTGGGCCGTCTCTAGGAGGGCCCCAATGGCCCCATGTCCTGCTATTTGCACCCTGTGTAGTCCCTTCCCCTGAGAGTGGGCTGGACCTAGTGGACTTATGTCTAACGAAGAAAATATGGCAGAAGCGACGTGCACTCTTTTCCAGGATTATGTCAGAAGACTGGCTTCTCTTTGGGGTTGGTCTCTCTCTCTCTCTCTGATACTTCCTGGAGTGCGGGGTTGGTCTTGGGAGGATGCCACATGACAGAGGACCAACATGTACAACTAGCTGAGTGAGCCTGGGGACAGAGCGTCCCACCCCACCAGTCGGTCCCTCAGATGAACTGCGGAATCCCAGACAACAGCTTGAACTGCAGCCTCGTGAGAGACCCTGAGCCAGTGGCGCCCGCTGAGCCGCGGCCAGAGAAGTGGAGGCTAAGACACTTACAGCTGCTAAGTTTTGGGGGAACTATCGAGGGCACTTTTCCCTGCACCATGTGGCTTCCCGAGCTGGTGTCTTATTCCTGCAGGCTTCCGCTGAGCTAGAGGAGCGCTCCCAGCTCTTTGTCATGGTAAGGACTGGGTTGGAGAAATGTGGCTTTCCAGCTGAACCAGTGGACGGGCTCAGGATCTCACCTGCCCCAAACCAGGGCCCTGGTTGGAAGGCTGGTGTCCCCTGCCACAGCCAGACTCATCTCTTCAATCCCCCGTGTGATAGGAACAAGAGGTGGGGCCTTAGTGGGTGACCAAGTTACTCTTATGAGGAGGGATTGGTGTCCTTATAAAAGAGGTTAAAGGAAGCTGCCCTTCCTTTATGCCACTTGGGGACAGAATAAGGCGCCATCTTGAGGAAGAGAATGGCCCTCTCCAGTCGCCAAATCCGCTGGCGCCTTGGTCTTGTATTCACCAGTCTCCAACCTGTGAGCAATGAATTTCCATTGTTTATCAGTTTCCCAGTCTAAGGCTCCGTTGTTAGAGCAGCCAGATGGACTGACGGCAAGGGTGACAAGAAGGCCCATGGGACATGAGGCTGTCTTCAGGAGGCATGCGGGGGCTCTGGTGGGTGCCCCCGATACCACGCATGGTCCTTGGTGTGACAGTGGCCCATCCTCCACTCTCCCGTCCTGAAAGTGGAGGCTGGGAACCTTGGCCCCTGGGAGGCACTGAGGGCTGGAGTGAAGGTGGGGTGAAGAGCTGGGTGGACAGGGGGACATGGTGTCCAGCTCCAAAGAGAAAGACCAGCAGGAAGCACCTACTTGTTCTATGCAGCCCCTGGGTCAGAACTAGAAACAATGGGCCATGTCAAAGAAGACCAGGGTACGCTTCCTGAAGGGCAGGGCTCTTCAGGGAAAATTTAGGCATCAGCTGCCATTATTTGCGGGGAGGTGCTGCTCTCTCCCGGGGGCCACCCTGAAGCATCTTCATTCCCATGGTCCTCTCTTACAGGTAACAGTCTCCAAGCTGTGACGAGGACAGAGCTTCCTCTTTGCACGGATGGCTTATAATTTTCCCAGCATTCACCCTCCGTGTTTTAAGTCCATGGTTTTCAAACTGGGGGTGGCTGGCGTCTTCCCAGAGCCCTGAGAATGAGCCCCCTTTATTCCAGTTGGAGCACCAGAGATAGGAGGGGGAAGAGCAGGAGCAGAGAGTCAGGCCAGGGGTCAGGGGTGGAAGGGGTCTCTGCCTCTCCCAAGCTGCATACGGATTCCTCTGTCCCTGCTTCTGCAAAGTGGGGAGGGTGACTCCTCCTTTGTTTGTTAACTGAGACAGTCAAGCGTGTCAAGGAGCCCAGGTGCTGGCACAGTGTCTGTCTGACATAGCAGGTGCCTCAGGGAGTAGCAGGCAGGGTCATCAGGGAGCAGGGAAGATCAAGGGACCTGGGCCCACCCCCCCCAGGGGACATGCAGATGTTACCATCTCTTTTGTGTTCCAGGGTGTGGGAAACAAGGGGGCCGTGATCCTAGCCTGGTCCTGCCTTGCCTGGTCAGCTGATCCCCCAGCTGATGGGGGTTGGACCTTGTGTGCACGGGGCTCAGAAGCCTGCTGTCCCTGGGGCCACTCTGCAGATCGCCAAAGAAACTGGAATGTGAGAGGGAGGCAGCCTCATTTCCCTCCTTTCTCCCAACAGAAGAGTCCATGCAGTGCTGTTTATGAAGGTTTTTTTAAATGTGCTAAGATGACCAAAATATGTGTGATCATACTTTTTTTTTCTTTTTTAGGATTCAACTATATCACTTTTTAAGGGTGAAGATTTATAGATGGTTCTAAATGGCGACAAAAATTCAAAGGCATCAAAGAGGAGTAGGAAATCACAGTGCTCTCTCCCTCTCCCCCATTCCTGGGATGGCTCAGTGGACAGTGCCTTCCTCAGCCACCAGACCCCACAGGGCATGGCATCAAAATGGCCCCGGGGAGCCCTCAGAGGGGAAATAGAGGAGTGTGGGGAAATAGAGATTCACTTTTCGCATCACAGAGCCAGTAAGGAGGGCTGAGCTGCAGCTCCCGGTGAGACCCAGAGTGGGAGAAATCCGTGTCCTGGGAAGGGCTGAAGCTCCATCTGGGGTCCCACGCCCCAAAGCAGGGCCCCTGGCCAAACACACCTGTGGCCCATTACAGGGGGCCGATCACGTGCCTTCTTCCTGATGCCATTTTCTCTCAACATGCCCACTTGGCCGGGAATGGCTGCCTGGGAGGGACCCTCTGGGCTGCAAGGAGGGGGCTTTTCTCTGAGGCACTGTCCCCTGCCGCTGCTCTGTGGTCCTCCCCTGAGGCTCCCGTATTCCCTGTGCCTCTTCTCCTGGGATAAGGCCCAGACACCCCACGGGGCCCACAAAACCCTTCTGATTCCAGGGGAGGGTGAGGCCAGCTGCCAAGGCCCCTGAGGGAACAGCTGCACTTCCAGTCCTCTAGAAGGGAGGACAGAGCCTGGACTCAGTGCTGCCCTGTCCTGGTGGCCTTGGCCCGGCCGCCCGCCTCTTACTTGCACAGCCCGGTGTCCTCGTAGGGCAGGTTCTCGTACACACACGGGTCGTTTTCTTCCTCCTCCTCTCCAGCGGCCACCATCACGAAACCCAGCAACAGGGCTGCTGTGGCCAGCTTCATTGTCCAACGTGGGGCACCTGGAACACAAAGAGCCACTAGAGCAGCAGGACCCTCTGCAGGGCCTCTGTTCCCACGGCCCAGCCCCCACCCCAGGGCCACCTGCAGGGCAGAGCTGGGGAGCAGCCCCACCCACACTGGCTGGGCCCCAGCTGCTAATCCTCCACCCGGATGGATGGACAGATGGACGTGGGCACCTTGGGAGGACCTGGCCCTGCCCCAAGCTGGGCTGTTTGCAGTCCTGACCCAGGTTCCGCCCCTGGCAAGGCTGGCTTTGTTGTCACTCTTGTCCTGGCTACCAGGCCAGAGAACCCATTGTGAGGAGTGCTTACAGAGTCCCCACGTATGGCTCTGGCCTGGGCCCTGGGGGCTGGTACCTCAGGCTTGGGGCTGGGGGCAGGGACTGTGGCTTGGCTGGGCTGCGTCCCCACAGACCACGCTGCTTTGCCTGCCCCTCGGTTCCTCCACCACCTGAAGAGCCTCTGGGCCATCTGAAGGTGGATACGGTTGGACAGGGTGACCCTGTGTAGGAGGGGCTGCTGCACGGGGAGGGGGAGGGCTTCTCACCCCAGGCCAGCTCCGAAAGGCCAGCTGGGGACAGAGGGTGCCTGTGTCTGGCTGCACTTGCACTTGTGCTGAGCTCAGCACCCTCCCAAAATAATAGTCTCTAGAGGAGGCTGGGCTCAGGCAGCACCTCCCCAGCACCGTGTGGGGAGAAGGGGCTCCCGGGCGACCCTGCCTCCTCTCAGGAACAGGCCGCAGCAGGGCTGGGTGGGGCTGGGGTGGGGAGCCTGCTGGGGCCACAGCACAGTTCTCCCCAGCAGCCCTTCCCGTGGCAGGATGGGTGCTCCGCCAGCCCAGCTGGGAGCTACCACTCATCCCTTTCAGAAGCAAGTGAAAGAAATGGCCCCCTCATCCGGGGGCTTTGGTAAGAACGTGAGATCATCGCGCAAAGGACATGCCGCTGTCTCTAGAGCGACGGCTTCCTGCCTCCTGGTTCAGTTCCTGCTTCCAGGATCCCAACCTCCAGCAAAGAGCCCGCCTTTGGGGCTGCAGAGTAAACGTGTTCCTCCATCCCCAGGCTCCTACGGCTGCAGGGAACTGACTCCCCCGGTGGAAAGGGTCCAACAGAAGCCCCCTCATCGAGTCCAGGTGTGTCACAGACCCAGCCAGTCAGCCACTCGTTCACCTGGTCACCTGCCGAGCTGGAGGGTGTGTGCTGAGTGATGTCCCCATCCTCCTGCAGCTCACAGGATGGTCAGAACCAGAGGACAATGCAAGAAGAATGGTCACCAAGGCCAAGAGACCCTTGTCTTCAAAGTGGCAGCCACTACAGAAGCCAGAACTCTCCTGGGTGCCAATAGCTCTTAGCCCGGACAGAATGTCTGCCTGGAGATGGGGGAGCATCCCCAGCCAGGGACGCTCCTGTCAAGCCCACTTATGACAGCGATTCCTCCTCACTCTGTGTGCCAGACACTTTAATCAATCAATCTTCATGTTAACCCTATAAAGTAGATATGATACCTAGCCACCCTATTTTATAAGGCAGGAGACCGAGGCACAGAGAGGTTAGTTGACCTGACTTTGGTTGCACAGACTATAGGTGGCAGACCTGGGATTTGAACCTAGGCAATCTGACTCCAGAGTCCATGCTCTTAACTACTCTGCTCCACTGTCCCCTGCTGCTGCTTCAAGGACCTCCCACTTACACCCTAAGTTTCCTGCTTTCCTTTCCCATGGGATAAGGCTCAGAATCCTCCAAGTGGCCCACAATGCCCTGCACAGTCTGGCTCTTCCTGCCTCTCTAGCTGTCTCCACCTTCCCCCTCTGGCAGGTTAACTCCAGCTGGTCCTTAGAGCTCCTTCTTGTGCCAGGGCCTTTGTAGGCACCATCCCCCACAGCCCATCCCCTCTGGGGTCATTTCCTCAGTGAAACTTGCTCTGACCCCCAGGCTCGATGACATTCCTGTGAGACACAACCCGAGCTCCCCTCTCCTTACCTTATCCTTCCTACGTTTCCAATGAAGCGATGAAGTTCTCGGTACTTATTTGCTTAGTGGTAGCCCCACCCCCACACAGACCTCAGCCGAGCAGCCTCTGGGGGCAGTGCCAAGTCTGTCCAGCATTCCATGCTCCACGCCTCGAGTATACAGATGCTCAGCAAAACACGTGTCTCAGCGCATGACCAGCTTGCTATTTCTGTTTCTGATAGTCCTTATTTTCACTTAACAGCTCACAGCTCTCCAGCAACATCGGTAGGAAGCTAGTCACTCAGCCTGGTCCCTGGCCCTGGATCCCTTTGCTTATTTATCTAACCTTCTCTGGCTTGTTTTCCTACAGAGAATCTGACAGGAGGCGGTGGTTCTCGGCTTTTTCAAACCCCATCTTTCCCTGGGGGATTCACAGGACGGGGCTTCATAATTGAAGTGCAAGATCTGGGGGCCAGCTTCAAGCCTGGGGAGTCCAGCTCCCTGTCCCCAGCAGCAGAGGAGACTCCTGCCTCGCTCCAGGAATCTCCCAGGGCTGGCTCCCTGAGTGCCCCGCCCCCTCCCTTCAGTCACCTGGACTGGGGCGGCCTCCAGGCACCACCTCTGGGCCAGGTGGACTTCCTGAGCTGCCCAGGTCCCTCCCACCACTGGGACCTGTTGGATTATGCTCTGGAACCCGACCTCATCCCTCCTGTCCTGCTGAGCCTGACCCCTCCCACCCCTGCCCAGACTCACTTTCCCTCTTTCCTCCCTAACCTTTCCCCTGTGCCCTCTGGGCTCCCGTGCTTCGGGAAACCGACTGGCTGCCGAGCAGAGAGCAGCACTCAGAGAGGAGGAGAACTCCAAACTTTATTTAACGCTGGCGGACCCAGAGGAAAACGAAACTCCAAATCCTGAGCTCCATCCAGTTTCTCAGACATTTACAGGCTATTTAGTGTCATAAATTTTCTAGTCTGCCTGATATAAGGTTGTGCTTGGGGTTTCTCTGGACAGAAGCATGTTTACAGAAGAAGAGTGTGATAAGGGGAAGAACTGGCTCCTCTGAGGAGGCCTGAGCTTCCACAGGTGCATTTACGTTTCAAAGGGGGAGACTAGGACTCCCAGGGGAAGTTATCTACAGACCCATGGTCAATCGGGCTTCCTGGAGAAAGGCTGTGAGAGGGGAGAACTGACCCCTTCCTCGGGCTTTGGTTTCTTACCATAACATTTTTATAATTTCACTTCACAACCAGGCCTGGTTTTGCCATCATACCTGGACTGTAGTGAACTAGTCCCACTTATTATTTTTTTTCTTTCAGTTTTTGGGGGAGTGGGGGGTTACTAGGAATTGAACTCAGGGGCACTCGACCACTGAGCCACATCCCCGGCCCTATTTTGTATTTTATTAGAGACAGGATCTCACGGAGTTGCTTAGCATCTCTCTAAGTTGCTGAAACTGGCTTTGAACTTTCCATCCTCCTGCCTCAGCCGCCTGAGTCAATGGGATTATAGGCTTGTGCCACTGTGCCGGGCCTTTCTTTCATTCTTGATAAAACTATTAATCAAGATAAAAATCACACCCATAAAAGTCTCTCTGAACATGTCCAATTCAGAGGGTTTTAGTGTATTAACAGAATTGTGCACCCATCCCCACTAACTACAGAACATTTCCATCACCCCAAAGAAGTCCTGAAGTCATTAGCAGTTACTGTCCCCGCAGCCCCCCCCACCTGATCTATTTCCTGCCTCTGTGAGTTGGCCTCGTCCAATACCACCCTCCCCTCCCCTCCCCTCCGATGTCCTTCCCTATGGACGCTCTTTTTGGACACTGTCATCACTATATACTGATTCAGCTCTGAAATCCCAGCGTCCGTGCCCTCTGATGGCGACCCCCTCTCACTCCTGCTCTCTGGCTACTCCCACCTTATCTCTGGTCCTTGAACACTTCCTTTCTTTCCTTGCTTATTCTGACTACCTCCCATCTGGTGCCTAGGTCCTGGGACACTTTGTTTTACAGGCCAACAGCTTCGGGTCCTTCCCCTAGTCCTGGCATTGCAGCCAGAGGGTACAACGCCAGCTTGGGACCTGTCCAGGGGTCTGCCTGCTCCTGCTCCTCTTGATGTCCTGTGCCTTCTACAGCCAGGGTAAGAGGGTGGGGTAAGCGTGGGTGAAGGGAAGATTCCCTAGATATGATCCTGCTGCCATGCAATGTCCAAAATGGGCAAATATGTAGGGTTAGAAAATAGACCAGAGGCTGCTAAGGCTTTGGGTTGGGGCAGGAGATGATGAGAGGTTTGGGGATGATGGCTAAAAGGTATGGGGTTTCCTTTGGAGGCAATGAAGATGTTCTAAATTTGTGTGATAAGTTGCACATAATCTGAAAACAATTGACGTGTATACTTTTTTTTAAATTTTTTATTGTTGGTTGTTCAAAACATTACATAGTTCTTGATATATCATATTTCACACTTTGATTCAAGTGGGTTATGAACTCCCATTTTTACCCCATATACAGATTGCAGAATCACATCAGTTACACATCCATTGATTTACATATTGCCATACTAGTGTCTGTTGTATTCTGCTGCCTTTCCTATCCTCTACTATCCCCCCTCCCCTCCCCTCCCCTCCCCTCTTCTCTCTCTATCCCTTCTACTGTCATTCATTTTTCCCCTTGTATTATTTTCCCCTTTCCCCTCACTTCCTCTTGTATGTAATTTTGTATAACCCTGAGGGTCTCCTTCCATTTCCATGCAATTTCCCTTCTCTCTCCCTTTCCCTCCCACCTCTCATCCCTGTTTAATGTTAATCTTCTTCTCATGCTCTTTGTCCCTACTCTGTTCTTAGTTACTCTCCTTATATCAAAGAAGACATTTGGCATTTGTTTTTTAGGGATTGGCTAGCTTCACTTAGCATAATCTGCTCTAATGCCATCCATTTCCCTGCAAATTCTATGATTTTGTCATTTTTTAATGCAGAGTAATACTCCATTGTGTATAAATGCCACATTTTTTTTTTATCCATTCGTCTATTGAAGGGCATCTAGGTTGGTTTCACAGTCGATGTAGCAGTGTCCCTGTAGCATGCTCTTTTTAGGTCCTTAGGGAATAGACCAAGAAGGGGAATAGCTGGGTCAAATGGTGGTTCCATTCCCAGATTTCCAAGAAATCTCCATACTGCTTTCCAAATTGGCTGCTTTTTGCATACTGCTTTCACCAATTTGCAGTCCCACCAGCAATGTACAAGTGTACCCTTTTCCCCACATCCTCGCCAGCACTTGTTGTTGTTTGACTTCATAATGGCTGCCAATCTTACTGGAGTGAGATGGTATCTTAGGGTGGTTTTGATTTGCATTTCTCTGACTGCTAGAGATGGTGAGCATTTTTTCATGTACTTGTTGATTGATTGTATGTCCTCCTCTGAGAAGTGTCTGTTCAGGTCCTTGGCCCATTTGTTGATTGGGTTATTTGTTATCTTATTGTCTAATTTTTTGAGTTCTTTGTATACTCTGGATATTAGGGCTCTATCTGAAGTGTGAGGAGTAAAGATTTGTTCCCAGGATGTAGGCTCCCTATTTACCTCTCGTATTGTTTCTTTTGCTGAGAAAAAACTTTTTAGTTTGAGTAAGTCCCATTTGTTGATTCTAGTTATTAACTTTTGTGCTATGGGTGTCCTACTGAGGAATTTGGAGCCCAACCCCACAGTATGTAGATCGTAGCCAACTTTTTCTTCTATCAGACGGCGTGTCTCTGATTTGATATCAAGCTCCTTGATCCATTTTGAATTAACTTTTGTGCATGGTGAGAGAAAGGGATTCAGTTTCATTTTGTTGCATATGGATTTCCAGTTTTCCCAGCACCATTTGTTGAAGATGCTATCCTTCCTCCATTGCATGCTTTTAGCCCCTTTATCAAATATAAGATAGTTGTAGTTTTGTGGATTGGTTTCTGTGTCCTCTATTCTGTACCATTGGTCCACCCGCCTGTTTTGGTACCAGTACCATGCTGTTTTTGTTACTATTGCTCTGTAGTATAGTTTGAAGTCTGGTTTCGCTATACCGCCTGATTCACACTTCCTGCTTAGCATTGTTTTTGCTATTCCGGGTCTTTTATTTTTCCATATGAATTTCATGATTGCTTTCTCTATTTCTACAAGAAATGCCGTTGGGATTTTGATTGGCATTGCATTAAACCTATAGAGAACTTTTGGTAATATCGCCATTTTGATGATGTTAGTTCTGCCTATCCATGAACAGGGTATATTTTTCCATCTTCTAAGATCTTCTTCTATTTCTCTCTTTAGGGTTCTGTAGTTTTCATTGTATAAGTCTTTCACCTCTTTTGTTAGGTTGATTCCCAAGTATTTTATTTTTTTTGAAGATATTGTGAATGGAGTGGTTGTCCTCATTTCCATTTCAGAGGATTTGTCGCTGATATACAGGAATGCCTTTGATTTATGCGTGTTGATTTTATATCCTGCCACTTTGCTGAATTCATTTATTAGCTCTAATAGTTTCTTTGTAGACCCTTTTGGGTCTGCTAGGTATAGAATCATGTCACCTGAAAATAGTGATAATTTAAGTTCTTCTTTTCCTATTTTTATGCCTTTAATTTCTTTCGTCTGTCTAATTGCTCTGGCCAGTGTTTCGAGAACTATGTTGAACAGAAGTGGAGAGAGAGGGCATCCCTGTCTTGTTCCAGATTTTAGAGGGAATGCCTTCAATTTTTCTCCATTCAGAATGATGCTAGCCTGAGGCTTAGCATAGATTGCTTTTACAATATTGAGGTATGTTCCTGTTATCCCTAGTTTTTCTAGAGTTTTGAACATAAAGGGATGCTGTACTTTGTCGAATGCTTTTTCCGCATCTATCGAGATGATCATATGGTTCTTATTTTTAAGTCTATTGATGTGGTGAATAACATTTATTGATTTCCGTATATTGAACCAGCCTTGCATCCCAGGGATGAATCCTACTTGATCATGGTGCACAATTTTTTTGATATGTTTTTGTATCCGATTTGCCAGAATTTTATTGAGGATTTTTGCATCTAGGTTCATTAGAGATATTGGTCTGTAGTTTTCTTTCTTTGAAGTGTCTTTGTCTGGTTTAGGAATCAGGGTGATGTTGGCCTCGTAGAATGAATTTGGAAGTTCTCCCTCTTTTTCTATTTCCTGAAGTAGCTTGAAAAGTATTGGTATTAGTTCCTCTTTAAAGGTTTTGTAAAACTCTGCTGTATACCCATCCGGTCCTGGGCTTTTCTTAGTTGGTAGTCTTTTGATGGTTTC